GAAAGGAAGACACAGAATCCAAAGCAAGTTCCAGGCTCCGAGCTGTCAGCACAGAGCCTGACACGGGGCTTGAACTCACAAACCATGAGATCATGACCTGAGCCGAAGTCAGATGCTTAACTGACTGAGCCACCCAGGCGCACCCTTAAAACTAAATTTTTATCCTAATGGTTCCCTACAAGACACAAACTCATCCCTCATATTCACATATACTTTGCTCTTTGGTATCATCAATTTTCATACAACTATACTAGATAATTCTCAGGATGGTGTTCAATTATTGATATCAGTACTAAACTTTATCAGATGAAAGAAGCCTATAACCATATTTTAGCATAAGACTACACATCCCAGAATTTTTAGAGCATTCTAACCTGACACTAAATTTAAAATGCATTACGGGGTGCCTGGGTGGCTCAGTTGGTTGAATGTCCAACTCCTGATTTAGGCTCAGGTAGTGATCCTGAGGTCCTGGGATCAAGACCTGTGTCAGGCTCTGCAATAAGAGTGGAACCCACTTAAGATTCTCTTTCTCTCACTCTCCCCTTCTCCGTCTCCCTCCGCCCCTCCCTCAAGTGTGTGCATGGGCACTCTCTCTCTCTCTCTCTCTCAAAAAATCATAAATTTGTTGCCTTAAAAAAAATGTGTTACAAAAAATGTTTGTTTTTTTTTGATGTTTATTTATTGTGAGAGAAAAGAGTGAGCATAAGCAGGGGAAGAACACAGAGAGAAAGAATCCCAAGCAGGCTCCATGCTGCTGTCAGTGCAGAGCCTGACCCAGGGCTGCATCTCATGAACCTTGAGATCGTGACCTGAGCTGAAATCAAGAGTCAGACACTTAACTGACTGAGCCACCCAGATGCCCACAAAAAATAATTTAAGTATGTTTGTCTCATTTTTCCTTGATAGTGAAATCTCCAAAATTAACTCTGTAACTTGAGTAACTTTTTATCTCAACACAGTACATCAAAGACATGAAAGACCACTCAAAAATAGATGTTTTGCAAAATTCCTCAGATAATCAAGCTGTCTTTACTCACAAGTCAGAACAATCATACATTTTATTATATTAACAAAACAGGTTTTCAAGGTAATTCAAATGCTCTTGCAGGTCAGTCAGTTCTTTTCACATTAGGAAATATAATGTTACAAAATTAACATAAGTTTAGGTAAAAATCAGTCTAAACTCTTCACTCTTAAGTTTTCAAGCTCTTATTCATTCTGGATAATGCTGGCTTCAGTTAACACTACTTATAGGTATTAATACAACTGATATGTACCACACTCAAGAATGGTGAGCAAATGAATCTCTTTAACAAATTTTCAATTCAGAAGTAGAATAAAAATGGCAAGCTCAACATAAGACATCGTACCCTCAACACAAGATACTATTAATAGATTGGCATCATTTCTTTTGTATAATGTTTATCAGAGTCTACTAGTATGAATCATTAAATATGTTAAATCTCATAACAAATTATGAAATAATTTTAAAGGTAACTTCAGAATCTGTCATTTACATTTATTCATGCTTGCATTTCATTGTCAAACAAATCCCACATAGTAAACAATGTTTTCCATAAAGTTTATTGGAAATTTCTAATTTCACAGATTCACTAGGCTCTGCTCCAATTTCTAAACCAAGTACAAGCCTCACCTTGCTCAAAGCATACAGATCCAGGATTTTTCTCTCCACCACTGGAATCTTCAAGGTAGATCCTTGGAGCTCCCAAAATTTTGCTAACTGATCCAAGAAGTCCAGTCTCACTCTGGTCATTGCCTAAGATTATTAAAAAACAGAAACCAGAAATAGGAATTAAGTTATGGTTGAAAATAAATGAGCTTTACTTAACAGAAGTACTCATCTCTCTAAAGAAATTCGTATCACTTAGTCCAACCCTGTAAAATAAGACAATAATAAAGAGAGAAAATACTACTAATAAACTTTATTCACTAAGGCAAAAAAGTCACTCTAATTATGAGAAATGCTCTCATATTTTATCAACCAAAGAAATTTCTTTCTAAGAGTTGGCTTAACTAAGCTAAACAGAAAATGTAGTAAATCGGATTATTCTAAGCATTCTATCATTTCATCTGTATAAACTATATATACCTCAGGTACACTAACTTTCTACCCCACTGATATTAAGATCCTTCATCAAGTATCTAATTACAAGAAACTTAAAGGGAAAAAAAGTATTAAAATCTCAGAAAATAAATGTTTCAGAAACATCAAGGGAAAAAAGCCACCTTACTATGACATATTAAACCTCAGCTAAGAATTCTCTTTTGTACTCTGAAACAGTTTTCTACTACACCAAAGTATCTTCTGATAATCCAGCAGACAGGAAAAATAATAATATTTAAATAGACTTCAATTTAGAAAACATAAAAGAGACAAATAATATTTAAAGGGAAATCTTAATAAATCAGATTAAGAGTCCTGGAAAAGTTCTGTTAAAGCCAAATATAACCTTTGAAAACCTTTGATAAAATTTTAAAACCTACTTTCCAAAGACCTCAAGAAACAGAATCTTCCAACATTAACATAAAATTTTCATAGAATAGTAAGTGCCAAAGGAAACAGAACTTGAGAATTCCAGGTCTCTGCAGGTAAGTACTGGATATTTCCACTATGAAAAACACAGTTTCCTGTAATAAAAAAAAAAAAAAATAGCTTCCCATAATCCCATTTAAGTGGAAAAACTATAACAACTACTTTTTATGATGTGTTTTTATCAGAAACTTCCTTCCATTCAATCTCAATTAACATTAATTCTGAGCCCTGGTACATAAGCTTCTCAAAGTTCTCTACTGGAGCCCTGACATAAACAATGAATCAGGAGGCAGAAATGGTGACACAACACCCACCTCAAGTTCATTCAGGCGCTGGACTCTGGGAGTGAAACGAAAGCTTTTTACTTCACATGCAAATGGAGGTTGCCAATCCTAAAGAGAAAGATTTTTTTTTTAAACATACTGATATATAAAGAAAGAATCTATTATTTATTCCCTTAATTTAAAGGATGAGTAGCCACAAATCATGATGACAGCAGGTCAACTTTAAGCCTTTTTCACTGTAGAAACAGAAAGAGTAACATTCTTTAGGTGATATAATTTTAATATTACTTACCTCCAATCACTTATCTATCATATTCTAATTTTAAAATTACTTTATCTATAAACCCTCCTCAAATTTCAACAATCCCACTCTATAACCCAATATTATGCTTTCCCCAATTACTCAAGCGGAATGCAGTGAGCTCATGTATCACAACACAGTGTCTAATAAACATCTAAATTTACCAAATTAAAAAGAAAACAGAATTTGAAAGAAACTAAAAAGGGTAAAAGATTAAAAAATCATTTTTAAAGTACTTATATAATTGGATATCTTTTTTTTATTCATGTGTAATGTGACACAGCACTTTACAGTCTATGTTATGTTACATAAATGTTTTGTTCAAAGCCTGGTTTCTCGGCACCCAAATATTAAAAAAAAAAAAGTAAGCAAATCCACAGAACAAGCACAATTCCTGATTGGAGTTGCGGTGTAACTGAAATGAGATAGCACAATTTGAGCAGGGTTCTATAAAAAATACTTTGATTTGGCCTAAATAAGAGTAAATCTACTTAAAAATATGAGAAGTAGTCAAGTATTTTTTTCTTACCTTGGAAACTAAAGAAATCCACCAATATAGAAATTAAATTCTGCTTGCAAACAAGATTTTATTTTTAGTAATAATACGACGTACAAAGAGATGATATATTATTTCTTTTTTTTTTTAGTAATAAAAAACATGTATTTTTTTTTTTACCTAAAGGAACCCTGAATAAAATTTCTAATTCATAAATGGCAACAAAGTAGATGAAAATATGGTTGTTTGAGAAAAATTTCAGTGCTTAAAGTTTTGCTAGTATTAGGTAATTTTGATAGGTAAACAGTTAAATGAAGTTTTTGGAGGAAGGTAATGCCCATCATTGATCATAGCAATAGCTTTTAATCCTTTGCTTGTGATTGATAGTCTATAAACCTTAATCAAATTCATTAAGCATAAACAGGTTTAGTAGCATGTCTGGGTTTCAGAATCAGACTGATCTAGGTTCAAAATCTATTTTGCCACATGCCCAAGATCATATATTTAATAAGTTATGTAACTTATTCAGACCTGTCTCACCTATAAAACAAGACGTTATTTACCTCCTAGGGCTTCAAAGAATGTTAAGTGAAATAATCTGTAGGTTTATTATCTAAATCCCTCCTCCTCCTCCCCCCCCCCCATCTTAAACTCTTTATTCTCTATGTGCACACACTACTGTGGTAGTCTGTGGTGAGAACAGACACTTTTCAAATGCAACACGCATAAAAGTACTTCATCTTTTATTCTTATAACTAGTAGACAAAACATAGAGTGTCCCTTTAAGAAGCACCGAAGGCAACAGTTCAAATTTAAATGTGCATTAAGTTGCTAGAGGACTTGCTAGAAAAACACGTTCTAGAACTTCCACATCCAGAAACTGATTCTAGTCTGGGAATGAGGCCTAGAGATGTGCATTTTAACAAGCATCTGGTTGAGCCTGGCGCAGGTGGAACAAGAACATCATTTGGAAAACGTTGGTCTTATGGGTAAAGAAAAAAAAGCTTCTGACCTTGAGCAAATCACTCAACCTCTTGGGGCACTAATTCCCCCCAAAGGGGAGTACCTGCTTTCCTTACTTTAAAGATTGAGAATTATAAAAAAAACTATAGGCAAACAGTTATTTGCAGTAACTGCAATTGATAAATCTTTGAACCTTGGTTCCTATGTCAAAAGATCCAACGTTTTCTTCCACATCTATTACTGACCAATTCCTCTTAAACCTCAAAATTCTGTAATAAATGCTGCTCCTTCTCCTCCCCTGGGAAGACTTTTTCAGTGCGACAACAGAGTCTAGGGCTCTTGTTTGGTAATATCATCCTAGGGGACAACTACATCTCAGATTACCGTTTAAGAAACCTTAGCCTTGAGATGAGGCCTCCAAATATTTAATAAGTTAAGCATTAATAGGACTTGGTTAAAGAAATAACCAATTCAAAGGCAATTTTTACTATAGCACCATAAGAAGAGAGTACAGTACATGAGGATAAGACATGCCATGTCATAAACTTCAAACACCTTCCTGACCAACGAAAGGCCTGAAGTCTTTTGTTACCCCTGCCTACAGTCAAACAAGAAAACTACCAGTTCCCAAGTTCTAGGCGGAAAGGCCCCTGGGACACCACTCGCAGGCTCAGACCTTCCTACGTTAAGACTGCAAAAGAAACCAAGGCAAGAACATCTACAAACTTAGCTTCTAGCTGTTGAGAAATGAGAGACAGTAAGTATGAAAGGACAGAAGGACTGAAAAAGTAAAGCTAAAGCACTCTCCCTTCCCTTTCTCCTCGGGACTCCGGTACCTTGGGCGGTCGGATTTTGCAGATGCCGGTTTTCTCCGCCAGAGGCCGGATGCGGCCGATAAAGCTGAGCGGGTCTGTGAACTCCTCCCAGCTGGGCTCAAAGACTGGGCACTCCGGTGGGGGCACGAACTCCGCCGCATAGCCCCCCGGCCCCACGCCTGCCATGGCAATACCGGGGGGGGGGGGGGGGGGTCCCCGTGGGGGAACAGGTGGAGAAAGGCTCACTGAAGCCCACCGAACTCTCTCACGTCTCCTGACAGGGGCCGAAGCTCATCTTGTCGGGCAAGAACCGCTCAACACAGGAACCCCACAATCGCTTCCTCTTCTCGTTTGTTATTGTTTCCTTCGGGGTTTTTCCTCTCTGGGTCAGGACTTTTCCGGAAGTTAATGTACTGTCAAATCCCTCCGCCACCACAGAAACAGAATCCCTCCGCAGCAACGCGAAGCCTCGTCGTTTCGCCCTTCTTCTTCCTCCCTTTGCCGGCAATCCGGTGTGGTTTCTTGTCTGCGGAAGTTCCGCGCTGTCCGACGACTTTCAGCGGCACACCCCTGAGGTCGCACGAGCTCACCTCAGGAAAGATACTGGCGGGGAGAAAGCAGTCAGGGCTCAGGAGGGGCGCACTCTTCCGGCGCGGAGGAATGTGTAATGCCCCAGAGGGCAGAGGTTCTGCTTCCGGTGAGGAGGGTTCTGTTCCCCTTTGTGTATAAATGACACGGAAACAAACTCGACCTGCTTTCCGCGAGCCTATCTGGCTGTCCTGGCATCGCGGCTTGTTTTAACGTACCTGTCATTTTCCATATAATCAGCTTTTTCAGCATCTGGCTCTTTCTTTAGTATTTTGACTGTTAGTATCTCTTCCAAATAATCTCCCTTGGCCACTCCATAGCCGCCTCATCTCCGTGACAACAGGTTCGGATCGAATCTGTCCCCCAAATCCTGCCAGCCGGCCTTAGTCACCGTCTAGGAATTGCTTTTCGTGGAAGACACCGCTCTTGACCTTCCTTTTCCAGCAATTGACAACCCCAAGTCATCTCAACAGCAAGCACTTTACTACCACACGCTTCGTAAACTTTTCTCAATACGCTGTAAAGACTGGCAAACCTTCTGATCCTGCTTGTCAAAAGTTTCTGTGCCAGTGTACATCTCCACTTACTCCAAATTGTGGAAAATAACGTAGAAAGAACTAAAGAAGAAACTGAAAAGGTAGTTCGAGTATTAAATATTTATTGTAAGGAAGACTTCCTTTCCAGGGCTTTTTTTCATACTCCCTGTGCAATCTCGGCTACCCCAGGACCTGAATTACCAACTGTGGTTGATAACTCCCAAAACTGTATTTTCAGACAAGGTTTTTCTCTTGATTTCGAAACCAATACATCTAGCTACCTGCGAGACAACCCCATGTCGTCAATTCAAGTACCTACTGTTTTTTCAGTGTTTCCTGTTTCCGTGAATGACTTCACCTACTCAGTTGCCTGAGCCAGAAATCTAGAGCTAATCCTTAACTCCTCCCTTACTATGTACTATTGGGTGTCAAGTCTGTCTAGAGATTCACCTAAAAATCTTAAACCCACCCATGTATCTTCATCCTCACGTATCACTATCTTAAGTTCTCTCTCACCTGAACTATGATAGCTCAGTTCTTACCCCCCTCTCAAATCCCATTCCATTCAGTTGTCAGATTGCTTTGTCTAAAATCCAGAATACACCTTGTCCCCTCATCTCCAAACTCAACGATTCCAAACTCCTTTCTTATTTGCCACCTTACTCCCAAGCTTTGTGGTGGCTTTAATGCACTGTGCCTTCTCTCATCTCTGAGCCTCCACAGATAATGTTTCCTCTGTCTGGAACACGTTTGTACTCTCCTGACCCCACCCACAATTTCATATATCCCCTTTCTGACCTACTCATCTTTCATATATCAGTTTAAATATGACTTCCTCTGGAAAGCTTTCCTTAACCCTCTAGCGTCATTTACCCAACAGCAACCTGTACTTCCTTATCAAACTTTTTGGAATTTCTTCATTGCCATTCTTCCTCAGGCTGTAAACTATACGAAGGTAGGTGCAAGTCTGTTGTATTGACCACTGTAGCCCCAATTCCTAGAATGGTGCTTGGTGTATAGAAGGTATGCAATAAACATCTGTTAAATAAGTATCTGTTGAATGAGTGGGTGGATTCACCCAATAAATTTACTTTGTGTTTCATTGCCTCATCTACATTTACATATAACAAATTTTAAGACTCTACTAAGGTGTGGCATATATGATATCCCATCATTTGTTTATAGTATCCGTAAAAGTTAATGCCCAGTTACTACACCCACCAGCCTCAAACCCATACACAAACATTTGTTTCAGTTAGCCTTTGTTATGTAACAAACTACCCCAAAACTTAATGGCTAAAAAAACTTAGTGGCTAAAAATGAAAACTATTACCGCAATTCTGTGGGTTGGCAATCCGGTGTTTTCATGGTTCCCCTGGGATCACTTCTGCAGCTACAGGCGTCTGACAGCTTAACTGGAGTTGGAGGATCCACTATGGCCTCATCACATATCTGGCAGTTGGTGCTGGATGTTGGCTGGGAAGCCTCAGTTCTCCACATGACTTCTCATCCTCGATAGGATAGACTGTGTTTCTTCATAACATGGTCTTAACATTCCGGGAGTGTGAGAATGGAAGCCTAGGCCTAAGTCCTAGGATCCAAAATGTACAAGATCACTTCTGTCATATTCTGTTGGCCAAGGCAGATCATAAGGCCAGTCCAGATTCGAGAAGGTGGTGAAATGGACTACATATCTTGATGGGAAGAACAATTGCACATTGCACATTGCAAAGGGATATAGAGATGTAGAGAAAAGTGTGATTCGTCACACACAATTATAATGAGTCACAATAAAATCTGATTTAAAAATCAAATTTTTACTATTTAAATCTGAAAATCCACATTACTCACAACAGAAATAATGAAATTCTAAGTAAACCAAGTAACACGGAAATAATCATTAAATATGTAAATTAAAGTATAATTGTTTTGCTTTTGAATTACTAACAGAGCAGCAAAGCCTTGATTGATCCTCAGAATAAACACAAACTCCTAAAAGCTTTGTTTCTCTTACTTTTGATCTTTCAAGGTATACTTACCTAGTACTTTAAACTGTCTCCCTAGTATTTAAATTCATTCAGTGATTATCCTCAATCATTTATTTGCCTTAATATGCCTGAAAAATCTGTAGCAGTCCCTTTAGCAGTGAGTCTATAAGAGAAACACAGTGAATATCTCTACTGGGGATGGAAAAAACTTATCCAGTTTTACCCACATGAGATTCTAATCCTCCCCTCCAGGAGTATCACCCACCCTCACCCCTCATACCCATCCCTTTGAGAATCACTATTGTAAAAGTTTCTTATGGTTTGTTTCCCTCTCTGTTTCTATCTTATTTTTGCTTCCCTTTCCCTATATTCATCTGTTTTGTTTCTTAAATTCCACATGAGTGAAATTGTATATTTGTCTTTCTCTGACTTATTTTGCTTAACATAATACACTCTAGTTCCATCCACATTGTTGCAAATGTCAAGATTTCATTCCATTCTTTTTGATCATCAAGTAATATTCCATCGTGTGTGTGTGTGTGTCTTCTTTATCCATTCATCAGTCGATGTTACATAACAAAGGCTCTTTCCATACTTTGGCTACTGTCGATAGTGCTGCCATAAACATTGGAGTACATGTGTCCCTTCAAATCAGCATTTTTGTATTCTTTGGATAAATACCTAGTAGTGCAATTGCTGGGTCGTAGGGTAGTTCTGTTTTTAATTTTTTGAGGCACCTCCATACTATTTTCCAGAGTGACTGCACCAGTTTGCATTCCCACCAACAGTGCAAAAGGGTTCCTCTTTCTCTGCATCCTCACCAATATCGGTTGTTTCCTGAGTTGTTAATTTTAGCCATTCTGACAGGTGTGAGGCGGTATCTCATTGTGGTTTTCATTTGTATTTCCCTGATGATAAGATGTTGAGCATTTTTTCATGTGTCTGTTAGCCATCTGGATGTCTTCTTTGAAAAAATGTCTATTCATGGTTTTTGCCCATTTCTTCACTGGACTATTTGTTTTCTGGGTGTTGAGTTTGACAATTCTTTATAGATTTTGGATACTCACCCTTTATCTGATATCTCATTTGCAAATATCTTTTCCCATTCTCTCAGTTGCCTTTTAGTTTTGCTAAACTAAAACTTTAGTTTTGCTGATTGTTTCCTTCACTATGCAGAAGCTATTTCTCTTGATGAGGTCCCAGAAGTTCATTTTTGCTTTTGTTTCCCTTGCCTCTGGAGACATGTCAAGCAAGAAGTTGCTGCGGCCAAGCTGCAAGAGGTTGTTGCCTGTTTTCTCCTATAGGATTTTGATGGCTTCCTGTTTTACGTTTTAGCTCTTTCATCCACTTTGAGTTTATTTTTGTGTATGGTGTAACAAAGTGGTCCAGGTTCATTTTTCTGCATGTCGCTGTCCAGTTCTCCCAACACCACTTGGTGAAGACACTGTCTTTATTCCATTGGATATTCTTTCCGGCTTTGTCAAAGATTAGTTGCCCATATGTTTGTGGATCCATTTCTGTGTTCTCTATTCTGTTCCATTGATCTATTTGTCTGTTTTTTTGTGCCAGTACCATACTGTCTTGATGATTACAGCTTTATAATATAGCTTGAATTCTGGAATTGTGATGCCTCCATCTTTGGTTTTCTTTTTCAACATTACTTTGCCCGTGGTTAATCAGCTCTAATGAGGGCTTTCTGCACGTAGTATGTTAATATTGACTGTCAATAGTGCTTGGGTCTCAGGGAAGAACAGTTAGGTATAGCTGTAGTTTACAGGTGCTGTTTTCAGTAGTTAAGCTATTCTTAAAAACTTTTGAGAAAAAATTAAATAATATTAAAAAATTATGTTTTATACAAAATTTGCTGTCCTTGGTGCTAGAATAGGATAAAATGAATATCCAACTCTGACAATCATCTAGCTAGGCTGTGATCTCTGAATTTATTAAAAAACGTAATAAAACTTCATAAATTCAGACTAATTGAAGGAAGGCAAATTGCTGAGAGCCAAAATTAAAAATTACTAAATTTGTAAGGAAAGGCTATTTCATTTCAAATATACTTTCTACCAGTGGTTCTCAAACTTTTTGGTCTCGGGACCATTTTGTACTCTTAAAAATTATTGAGAACCAGGCACCTAGGTAGCTCAGTTAGTTAAGCATCTGACTCTTGATCTCAGGTTAGGTCATGATCTCGCAGTTTGTGGGATCGAGCCCTGTGTCAGGCTCTGCACTGACAG